TGGATCACGCTATCGCGAGATGTTAACATCTCAATTTTGGCCTATTATTGATGACATCAATATCACAAACATGTGGTTTCAACAGGACGGTGCCACATGTCACACAGCCAACGGAACGATCAATTTATTGCAAACCAAATTTCCCGATCGCATAATTTCTCGAAATTCAGCTGTTAAATGGCCAGCCAGATCGTGTGATTTAACACCACTGGATTATTTTTTGTGGGGCTATGTTAAGGACAGAGTCTATACGGAATCAATCGAATCCATCGCGGCCTTAAAACTCAAAATCCGTGACGTGATTAACGAAATAGACCCGCCATTTTGCCAAAAAGTGATTAACAACTTAGATGAAAGAATCGTCATCTGTCAGCGTGGTCGTGGTGGACATTTGCCAGATATCATTTTTCATTCATAATTGCCAAACTTTTCTCTTCGTAATACAATAAAAATTTGAATCATCTTCATCTGAACTCTTTGTTTTATTTTGTTTTAGAAAACAGAGTTCTTGTTGAAAAACCCGTTACTACTTTTGTACGTGGTAAATCCACGCTGGCTATATATTACGGTTGTAACATGAATGGGTCAGCTCGACCGGGGAAGGATCACACTCTCACAGACTACCAGCGTAAAATAGCAGCTTAATGCTGCTGTGTTTCGTATGGTAAGTGTAGTGAACCGGAGACCCGTTTTACTGGAATCGAGGCATTACATCTTAGTCATCAAGGGTGACAACGCATCTGCATTTTGATTCTTAATTAAGGTTAAATATAGATTTCTTTGGGCCGCAGCATCCACTTACTGTCAGGTGAACTGTGTAGTCGTTTGTCACCCTTATCCTATAAAAAAAGATTACAGTTTAAATAAGATAATAATTTAAAAATATTAATATGCATACTTTTATTACTCTTATTTAATTGAATGGTAAAATTTGAGTGTATAAGTGTATGTGTAAGAGGGATGTGTCAGCCCTTTTTTTTTTGTTACATGGGGAAATGCCTACCCATACCCGCCTCGCGGGGGCAAGGACGGGTTATGTCGGACTCGCACCGACTAAAACCCCATGGTGTTCCACCTTTCTCGCATATTGGCAGGGCTACGGGAACGCTTTCGCACACATCCGCGGCCCTACTAGCGCCTGCCGCCCCATGGCAGCACCTTCTCAGGAGAGGAAAATTCCTCCCCGTTCTCCTTCTAGGTAAGGCGCACCAGAACACATGGCGCGCCTTCCTCCACGGCCTCCAATTACGTCTGTGCAACAGACGCCCCCGCGTCCCATGCACAAAGGCCATGGGGCCAGGAAAAACGAGCACTTAGAAGTACTAGCCTTCCCGACCCCAGCGGCGGATCTGGCTCCGCCGCCAACCAAGATTCGGCTGCGGAGGGTAGGGAGAGCGGCGCCTCGCAATACCGACAATCCTCTCCCCCCGCAGCCCCACCACCACCGCATCAACGGTGCGGCCCCGTTTGAGTCGCGGAGGATAGGGCGAGTGGCGCATCGCCATACCAACACTCCTCTTCCTCCGCGACTCCACCTCGGCTGCAGCGGTAGGTGGGGAGGACACACCTCTCACCGCAGTCCACCAACACACATCCAAAGTGGGCTTCCCAAGCCCACTCGGAGTGGCCACCTCGGGCCGGCCCTCCACCTCGGACCAGCCATATGGGTTCCTCTTTGTTTCGCCGTGGGTGACCAAGCCACGGCTTCTAAGCCCCCGCCACGACAAGGCGGGAACCCGTTCGGGGGGGATGTGTCAGCCCTACGAAATGGTATTAGGATCGGCTGGCGACAGGCGACAGTCCAGCCACTATGCTGAGCGTATTATGTGTGTAAGGGTGTTTATGTGTGTGTCTTAGATATATGGGTTGACAGTGAGTGCACGAGTGAGTGTTTGTTATAGAGAGAACATGGGTGTTTCCTATAATACGTGGGGATGTAAATCTATTTTTGTAACCTAATTATGCCCTATACTTCCTCAAAAGTGAGTGGCTTAAACCAATTTAAGACTAGATCTTTGCATTCAAAGGTTGTCTTGGTATAAAATAAATATTAAGTGTTTTGTTGACCTTGGTTATATAGTTGGTATGACAGAAAAAATATTTTACATATTTGCATTTTAACTACCGAGTCATTCCTTCTTTTGGTGACTATAGGAGCATTAAGTGGGAGAGGTTTGTATTTTTAACAACATATATAATATATAATTTACATATTTATATAAAAAAAATCTGCCAGGGCTTCAAGAACATGGTTGCGAAACGTAGGTGGTGGCGCAACTATCGTTAGTCAGCAAAATTGGGATTACAAATGGGGTCCAACTCATTCAAGTACCATGTGTCTGTCAAGACTTAGTATTCATACCTCCCTGACCATTAGTTTTAAGGTTTGCGTAATGAATATTTTGGTTGCCTGGAAGAGATCGCTATGTAGCGATAAGGCCGCCAAATTGTACATGTAATCTGCTCTCTGTTATGTTCTTTGTAAATTTGTTTGTGGTGTGCAATAAAGTATATTCATTCATTCATTCATTCAATATTTTTTTTAAATATAGTAAAACTAGCTGGCCAGGCAGACTTCGCTTGCCATTTCCGATGAACCTTAGTACTTTAAAAAATCCTTAAATTAATGATAAAAAATATTGAGGGTCACTTATCGGGATAAAAATTACCCTATCTTTCAAGTTGGAGTAAGGATTTTACAGTAGTTTAGGAGTTCATCGCGAGCGAACAATGTGATATGTAATTTTTATATATGAAGATAATCATTATCACTTAATTTAAAAAATAATTTACTTTATCGTTTGAATAATATTAAGTCTATTCCTATTTTACTTTAATATTTTAGGCTTATGAAATAATAAAAATAAATAACTAAAAAAACGAGTATATCGATGTCGATTATTGCTAACATTGCGAACGAAATCACTATAGATTAAAAACGTGATGTCTTGTAAGGCTGGATTCAGTGCTATGCGGACGGTCCGTACGGACGACCGTACAGACCGTCCGTATAAGGAGCATTCGGTCGGTCAACCGTTTAGTGCTAGGCATGTCGATTCATTCTTAAAAAAATCGATCTCTGAATCGACTTGAATCGAAAACACTAGAATCGATTATCGATTAAATCGAGGATTAAAAGATCGATTTTCGATTAATCGCGACATTTTCAAACATGAAATTTCAAGAATTTGCGATTTTTTATTTACTTGAACTTTAATATTTTTTAAATAAAATATTAGTAATCTTATTAATTAACATTATTAATGTTCCTTTTAACCACTCTTGGTATGCTTGAAACGCTTGTGTTAGTAGTGGTTCGCACATAAGCCACTCGATCCTTTTTTTTTTACAAAGTGATTCCATGTATCACTTTTATTTGACATTTTAGGCTAGAAACAACAACAATACTTTAACAAAAGTTCAAACTGCAACGTACATTTCTCGGTAAATCTGTTTCAATCTAATAACTCACTTTTTATCAAATTAAAGTGAATGCTACACGAACACAATACTGGTTATTTCCTTACTATAAACCTCTATAAACATCAACATATAATATTTATTTACAGTATCAGGGTATTTAAAAAGTACTCTATCTGTACTTACAGCTCACAGCATGTATGTTTTTGATAATTAATAAAGTAAATTCACAAGTTCACAGTTCAAACAGGTTCACAGCTATAATATTATATTGTAGTATGTATATGTAGTCTTTGTTCACAGTACAGATTAAGTTAGAACAACATTCCACAGGTAAGATTAGAATTAGAATTTTAGAAATGAAATGAATAGAAATGAATGAAATGACAACTTTTCGATATTGTTGGATGCGTTAATAAATATTTATTTTATTCAAATATATATTGAGTTCAAATTATCAACCAAGTACGACCGGTTGTTTTTGCGTCCCCCAACAGCAAAAAATTAAAAAAACTGCGGTATCTGACCCCAGCCAGTTTGGGAATTTAATCGCTAGTAGTTCTTGAATCAGATGAATCAGTCCGATTCGAGGGGATTTTGGATCGATTCAGTGAATCGATGCGGTGCTCGGAATCGATCTAAAAGATCGATTATTTTACGCCAAAGAATCGATTTTTCGATTAATCGATTTAAGATCGACATGCCTATTTAGTGCTCTACGGAGCAACCTACGGCTCGGACAAGTAACGTCGCGCTGAAAATGTATCCGTTTTTAAACACCGTAGTTGCTGCCTACTACTTAAGGCAGTTACATAAAAAGAAGTATAGGAGAAGATACCATGTTCACCCTGTAATTGCAGATCGATTGCTAGATGGAGAATTTCATAAATTATATTCGAAATTGTGACGAAAAATTTTTCGATTATTTTGGAATGTCAATTAACAGCTTTGATGAACTCCTAGTAAAAATTCAAGATTATATCAAACATAATAATATGTTTAGAGTTACAGTAGTCTCCAACTGAAAGATTGGCCGTAACATTTAGGTAAGTGCGCCCTTTATTGTTCTTAATTAAATACAATACACAATACTCCAGAAACTCAATTTAATATTTAATTTGTTTCTTTTACTTATTTTACCATATTGGTGGTAAGTGCTTACTGAAAAATTACTTAAATCTAATAAAATCAGACATATTAATTACTGCTTGCGATGAATACTGCTGTTCAGATAGTTGCATTTGAGAAGCGATAGGTTCTTGCGGAAAATTACCCAATGCTTGCGATGAATACTGCTGCTCAGACAGCTGCATTTGAGAGGCTACATTTGCATTTGGAGCTTCAGTTTTTTCAACTGTGTACAACGTTACATCTTCTTGAGAGCGTGGTGATGTGATTGTGTATGATGTACAGGTAGATGTAGAAGATCCAAGGCGAGAGGTAGATACAGGGCGAGTGGAAAAATAAGTAGTATTTCTGACCGAAATAATAGTTTTTGGCGAATGTTGAATGATTTTGTAATAGGTAATAGGGAAGAGAAGAATGCCATATCGTCGTTTTTCATCATCTCACTGTTTTCTTTAAAAAAATTTTTTTTCAGAATCCTCGCGGTTTTTAGGTTTTTTTGGGTTTTTCTGAAATGTAGTTTGGTTTGGTTTAGAGATGGTGGGTGGGGTTAGTGTAATTTCTGAAGAATTACCAGCATCTCGACTTGTTGAAGGCAACTGAGATTGATTGTGCGTAGAGTGGCTAGGTGGTAGAATGCTGCATGTTTCATTCGTATTTTGACATTCATTAATAGATTCAATAGTATCAACAATAAGTTTTATGTCCAGAAACTGCATGTGTTCAAAATACACGTATTTGGATTTCTTTCCACCACCGGATCCAGACTTCACATTTTTTAATGAATTTTTACATTTCATATATGCGTCACGCGCAGTTCTCCACCGTAGTTGTACTTGTTTTACTGAAACAATTAACAAATAATTAATTTTGTTGTTATTCCTTTCAGGTACCTCAAGACTGGACAAACATACTCAGATCTTTACTTCACTTATCAGATGGGCACTGCAACAATCTCTCTCATCGTCAAAGAAGTATGCACAACCATTTGCCAAGTGCTTCAAGAATGTATTTCGATACCTAGTTCACAGGAAGAATGGATAAAAATGTCATCAAGATTTCAACTGAACGCTAACTTTCCTAATTGCGTTGGAGCTATCGATGGGAAACATGTGAGAATTACTTGCCCCGAGGACAGTGGCAGTTTATTTGCCAATTACAAAAAACATTACTCTATCGTTCTATTGGCAATGTGCGATGCAGACAATCGTTTTACATATGTATATATAGGTTCTTGTGGAACAGACTCGGATTCAACAATTTTTAAAGAAAGTACTTTGTATAATAAATTGCAAAACGGGACATTTTTACCTCATTGCCGAATACATCTGTACCTTTGCAGCACGTGATAATTGGTGATGGTGCATTCGGTATATCGAACAAAATATTAAAACCTTACGCACGAATTAATATGACTCACAAAAAAATCTTTAACTATAGGTTAAGTCGTGCAAGAAGGTATATTGAATCTACGTTTGAATTAATGACAAATAAATTTAAAATATTTCATAGACCAATAAATACGTCTCTGCCGAACACGATTACACTCGTAAAAACTTGTTGTATTTTACACAACTACATTAAAGAGCGAGATGGCTATAGACAAGAGGATACATTTATTATTGAAGGATTACAAGATTTTAACACCCATAATTGTCAGATCGGGCGACGCATTGAGAGAAAGATTTGCCAGTTATTTTGTATCTACCGCAAATATCTACCGCCTTGGCAAAATAATTCAATATTTTAATTTATTACCTATACGAAAATTTTCAATAAAGTAGTTAAATAATATAAATAATGAACGTGTTTTACTCAATGATATCTATGTACAGTCCGCGAGGTCTCTGAGCTTCGCATTTGTGTGAGTGCAAAAAAGCAGTATAAACCGGTTCAAACCAAGCAAAGGACGTGTCGCACTCTAGGGCGACATCACACCTACACTATGTAGGTATGTGCACTCACGCAAATGCAAGCAGGCCTCGCGGATTGTACCTACCTATTATACTATTGTATGTACTTACCAATTTCCTGTTTCTCCTTATCTGGTAAATCATCATAACCAGGAAACAATGCTCGGCATACTTCTGTCCACGCTCGTAGTTTCGCATCACGATCTTTATACAAAATCTCGCTAAGATCCCATAATGATGGTTGACCTCGAACTTCTGTTATGACACGTTCCGTGTCTAGATTCTCCGCAGACATTGTCGTTGTTGACAGTCCCGCACACATGTCCGGATGTGTCTGCGTCCGCACAGCACTAAACGCTTTCGTATAGATACCTAGCGCGTCCTGATGCGGACGTCCGGAGCACGGACGCGCTCGACGAATTATTTTCCTCCGGATGGACGCACGCTCCGCAGGCCGTATTCAACTAAACACAGTAATTTATTTCTATACCATAGCTCCGGAAGACGGTCGTCCGTACGGACCGTCCGCATAGCACTAAATCCAGCAAGAAACGTCACACTCAATACTACTACGATAGAGATGTCATTTTTATGTCATTTACAGTAAAACAGAAGATACAAGTGTATTTTGCGCAAGTGATGACATTAGATAGACATTCTTTCAACCTCAATACACATTGTACTTGAATATTTATGTTACAAAATTTCCACTTTATTGCTAAACAGATCTAGGAAAATATTTAAAAAAAGGTTATTTCAAACAAAAAATATCGTGATTAATTTCAAATTTGCAACTATTTGTAGGAGAAATTTAGTAGTAGAAATTTTATTCGATAGTACCCGGTTGACCGAGCTTTGCTCGGTATTTTTCGCTCGGTTTTTTTTTAATTCATGTGTTTTAGAATTTATATTTAGATATTAATTACATACTGATGAACTACGAATAGTATTTTTTGATCTTAGCGACATAATAGAAAAAAATTGAATTGGTTATTTGAATAAAAAATCATGAGTGCAATTAGTTTAATTTAAATTTTCGTGTTTTTAAAAAAATAATAAAAAAAGGCTCGAAAAAATAGATTTTCTCAAAAAAAGAAAAAACTTGAAAAAAAATTTAAAAAAATTAAAGAAGTTTTATAAGCATAAATTTTTGTCAGAATTCAGTGGTCAAGAATAGAAATAAAAATGAGTATTGTTCATCGTCGGTCGATAAAAAAATGCTAATTAGTAGATTTTGAAAAACACAGCAGCATAACATTTTAAATATATGTTATTGTGTGTAGGTATATAAATATATAATACTATTACTAATGCCGGGGTGTTTGAAATAGTGCCGTAATGAATCACTTGATAAATAATATATACACTATAAACCGGAAAACTTTTATTTAAAACACAGCTCTTCAATGATGATACCAATGTGTGAACATTTCCATGATAAATAAGTTCACTTCAGTTCTGACTGGTAACATCTGCTGGTAGCATAAGATTATTAGCCGTCATTGAATTTGGCTTTTATATATCAAAATCATACCGACATCATCTACACGTTGTAACCAAGTTGTCATTCCTGAGAACTAAAATATAACTCGTTACCAAATGGAGATAAAAGAGAACTTCGGTGTTTTTCACTTACCGTAATATGAACACCAGCATACTGTTATTTTACACTTAGTAGCGGTGCAAGAATATCCACAACCGCATATCGCCCCGTGGGTGTCGTATCAGGTGACAGTAGGAAATAAGCCAGGAAATGAACAGCAATGTTTATAAAGTTACAGACTTGTAATAGTGGTGATATGAGGTCCACTATTAACAGACTCCGAGTGGTTTAGTGGCGGAGAAATGAAACTACTTTTTGATGAGCAGACGAATGGAGTATGGAGTATGGAATATATTTTTTGGTCAACCCTGTATATAAATATTTTATATGTCCGGCTACGTCGTTAGTTTACCAATAGTAACAATTTTTATTTGCCTAGGCAATTACAATTCTTACATTATGACCAATAAAGATTAATCAAAAATACAACTATTATGTACCTCCATTTGCCGGGGGTGAGACTCGTGTATAGCTTCTCGTAGCTGCGTTGCTGGCACAGAACAATATTACTCCTATCGGAGGTTGCTGGACTGAGCTATAAAAGTGGTGCAGACCGGCGCGCGTGCGACCAGTCATGTCCTACGCAGGCCCCATTTTTGCCCACGCCAACCCTAAAATTATTAATGAACTCCAAATAGTTCAAAACCTTTTCTGTCGTCGAGCTGCGAACGCACCTTGGTACGTCCATAATGCCGACCTTCATCGGGACCTAGAGCTCCCTACAATTCAACAATTTCTTAAAAAACTCTCTGAGAACTTCTTCAAAGCCTCAGAGTCGCACTCCAATCATCTTATTCGTGAGGCAGCTACTTATGCAGCCCCACCCCCCTCTCGCTATCGAGTCCGCAGGCCGAGAAACTCTCACTCGGACCCGCCTAATAAACTGTCAAATGACCTGAACTGCCTCCTGGCGGCTCAGGCCAACACTAATTAAGTTATTCGTAATTAATTTTCCTTCGTAGGCACTCCCTCAGCGTCTCGTAGCCGCCTGCGCCCTTTTTCCCAAAAGAGGGTCGCTTCCAATACGGCATAAGAAGCTTAAACAGCCAGTTGCCAGTCCCCAAAGGCGGTTTTTAGAGGGTATCACTTAGGTTCCCCCGGTAGGCAGTGAGTCCCTCATAACCACGATAGACCGGCTATCGTGGTATGCGTAATGCATTTTCAGCCTCCCTACATAAAGGGTAGCCCTTTCCAATTGCTTCGGGCGCAAAAAAAAAGAAAAAAACGCGCGTGCGTAATCGGCGAGCGGCGGCGGCGTGGGAAACATCTCCGGAACAGCAAGAAGAAGCGAAGCTGCGGCGTTGAAGAAACGGATCTAAAATGTCGAAGGATGCATGAAGATAGCCGGCCTGTGAAGATGATGCGGCGCTGATGATATTTGCGGCTGTTTCTTGTTTCTATATTAGAACGTTAAATATATACGTCAAATTATCTCACATCGATATGCAGCCCGCAGTATCTCAGTAGCCGGGAGTAATTAGGAAATAAATGTTTTCTTCGCCTTCTGTTCTGTGTTATGGTAGCAGCAGGGTATATATTATTTATTGCCGTTTTGGGTTGATTAGCCTGGCTGCTACAGACTATATACGTCTCACTTCTAGGCACAGGCCGTTGTTTATCATGTAATTAAAGTTTTGCTAGCAGTCTTTTTTCGTTTTATTTTCCCTTTTTTAAAACAAATTAAATATATGCGTTTGTTTAAGTAAATTAGCTTTTTATTAATAGGTTATATTATACTATACTATATCTATACATAAATACATACCTCATAAGTACATTAATTATCATATCAAATCAGATTAAATTAATTTTAAACATTAAATCTGAGCTTACACCATATGCTGAGTGTTAAATTACTTGTATTTTAGTTTTTTGGCATTTGTCCTAATATAAAGCTGGATTTTTTTGACAAGCCTTGATTCTTTGAGAGGAAACTAAAGAAATGATGAACAAATATGATGCATAGGTACATATCCGTATGTATTATGTTTGTAAATATTATAACTGGTATTTATTAAACTAAATGAAACTTAGCTGTTAAACAAAAAGACAGTGACAGTGAGAGAAGGCCTGTGCCCAGAAGTGAGACGTATATAGTCTGTAGCAGCCAGGCTAATCAACCCAAAACGGCAATAAATAATATATACCCTGCTGCTACCATAACACAGAACAGAAGGCGAAGAAAACATTTATTTTCTAATTACCCCCGGCTACTGAGATACTGCGGGCTGCATATCGATGTGAGATAATTTGACGTATATATTTAACGTTTTAATGGCAAAGTCTCAAACATAGATTACTGTATATATACTAGGTCTCAAAGGCGATTACGGAACGCCGACAAATTATTCCACTCCATTCCTGTACGCATTACGAAGGACAAAGCGAACTATTTCATACTGTTTGAACTATTCGAACGCGTGCATATCAACAACAAAGAGGTGAAAACTCGGCGACCACCTGGTTGTCTGACGGGGGCGGTAGGAATTACAGCGTGAAATTCCTGCGCACATTCAGTGTAATTAGTGAATAGAAGAAATTAAACATCAGGCAAGGCTGTATGATCTAAGATCTTTGCCTTCCTTAATTGACAAATATAATATACCAAATAGTAACAACTAGGTATCACAGAACTATCTAGGTATAACAACAACTATCAATAATCAATATCAATTTATCAAATAAAATATAATAAATAAGTGATAAAAATGTCTAAACTTGGTATAAAGTCTTCGTAAAACTCTTTGGTTTTTACGCAGTCATCTGATAATTCAATATTAAATTCTACTCTAAAACTAAGTAATGCGACGTGCATTTGTATATAGAAATAGAAATGAAGAAGATGGAAAACTTATGGCCGTGGAAGACTCAATTGAAACGTTTAAATCTCAAATTTCAACAAAATTCAATATATCCAACGGAAACGTTAAATTATTTACATCAAATGGTTGTGAGATAGTTGATGTAAGAGTAATAAGAGATGATGAGAAACTTTACATCTCCTTAGAACGTAAAACCTCTGAACAGTGTGAAACGATTGAAAGATTGACACAAAGCTCGCAAACGAGTGAAGACGCTGAACGCTATGTTTCTGATTGGATAACATTAAATGTAGGTGGAAGACACTTCACGACGTCTCGGTCAACGCTTCTTGCTAAGGAACCTCTATCTATGTTAGCGCGCATGTTTGCCGATGATAATAATATGTATTTAATGAATCCAAGTGCTACAGATTCTACTGGAGCTTACTTAATTGACCGCAGTCCAGAATATTTTGAGCCAATATTAAATTACTTAAGGCATGGGGATGTTATTCTAGACAAGCATGTAAATCCCAAAGGAGTTATGGAAGAGGCTGTATTTTATGGTACTTAACTTACATTTATAATTACACAATATTTTTGAAGCTTCGTGTTGTGTAAACTATGCTGATTTTTTTCTAAGTAAAATAATTCCGTTGATAGAGCTTATAATATATAATTATAATAAGTATATGAGACAATATTCTAAGTCTAGAATATAAACTCCTAAATAAAGAAACAAACAATACTGTACATATATATATGTATTTCTTTTATATTTTGAATTCTTATTTCAATGATTTTAATTTAATTTGTAATCATAAGTGTTTGTTTGTTGTTTGCTTTCAAATAATATCAAGAGAATAAATGTTCCTAAGTTTCAATATCTGATTTTGCAAATATTCAAAAACTGCTGAAAACTGACTTTTTTATGCACTGTTAGTTATATACATATCTAACACCATGTATATGTTAACAATATTGTTAATAAGAAATATATGCTGACTATGGGGAACGTCAGAAATGTTTTGTAGCTTCTAACAAATGTATGTACAACCCAACGGCACAGTGTCATCTGATACTGTAATTGCGAATCTGCCTGTAAAAATTTCGAATTTAGAAAAAAGCTTTGTTTTTGGGCATGTGCATGATGTAAAATTAATTTATTTGTTAGAAACAATTTTATACTTTTTCAATTAAAAGCTTATTTTTATTTGCATGCAAATAATATATTTTCTAAAGTTTTATTCAAATAAATAATTTAAAAAGAAATATTTACTTTAATGCTCTGTAAATTAAATTTAACTTTTTATCTAAAACTATAATAGTTATCAGATATAAAAACTGTATTTAAAATTTTTTTTTTTTTTTTTAAATTTTTTTTAATTATTTATTTTTTTTTTTAGTGTTTTTGAGTTGCATCAAACTGTTGCATGCAAAAATTTTACATTAATCATACTATAACTATAGCTGTAGTAGCTCAGAAACTACTGTGTTGTAGTAATAAAAGTACCCTGCTAAAAATTAGAGATGGGCCGAATATGAATTTCAACAAATACAAATATTCGGCCAAAAGTTTGATAAAACTTTAACCCAACTTAATATTCGGCCGAACATTATTTGGCAAGATCATTTACCGAATCAATTTACGTCGAAACTTTTTACCGTAAAGCGCGCGGAATTAACGCCGGATCCTGCCCCTCGCTACCCCGCCAAACCTGGCATGTTATTGCATCATCTAGTGCTGAGAAAATTGCTGGCACATGCTTATGTTTTGGCTATTTTTGTGAGAAATAAAGTATTACATAATGCTATACAAGTAGCTTTAACTCATAAATAAAATATGCCTTCCACTGTAAAATTATGAAAAACATGGCATTACTCAATTCGTACATTTCAATACAGTGGACACCTTGAGTACCACTTTAATGATGTTCGGTGATTTAGCTGAATATTCATGGTAAAACTGCCGAATACCGAATATGAAACGAATATTCGGCCTATCTCTACTAAAAAGAGACATCCCCCATAAATAATAATCTTATAGGTATATATAGTTTTAAATAATTTTGCCATAGTTGCCATGCTTAGCAGGTGTGTCTGCAACACTAGTCTTTCCTTCACAAAACATGATAACCTGGATTCAATACAGAGGGCACCCATGAAATCGTTAATTACAATTACAATTTTAAGTACAGCTATACCACAGATTGGAAATAAAATATTTCAAGTATGTGTGAAGAAGAAGTCCGCCAACAAGCATAAGAGCAGTGCAGCAGACTATATGTTTCAAAACCCTTTAAAAAATAAGAAAGGCCCTTGCCCAGCAGTGACATGTGCAAAGGCCATTTACTTATTCTGTAAATGTAACCAAATTTTTTATTGAATATGTTTAATAGGCAAATCCAATGTCTGTAATTTGTAATAATATTTGATCAGACTTGATACTGATGGATTAGTAAGCTGAAGTGGCAACGGGCCGGCCACATAGCTCAAAAAACTGACAACCGATGGGAAAGCAAGGTTGTCAAGTGGCAGCTACGAAGCTGCCCCACACTTCAACTACCAGTACAAACCAGTAGTTGAACTGTGGGGTGGCCTCCCACAAGATGGAGTGACGAGCTAGTAAGACATGCAAGATATATAAGATGCAGGTGGCTCAGGACCATGCTTTGTGGCATTCTTTGGGAGAGGCCTATGTTCAGCAGTGGACTTTTGGCTGTATAATGATGATGATGACACTGATAATTTCCTCATTATAAACATTGTCCATATTGAACTTTATTTATAGAATAAGGGTTACAGACGAGCACACAGTCCACCTGATGGTAATTGGATGCTGTGGCCTATAGGCATCTACATCTGTGCTCGATTCATTATGCAGATGTGTTGTCACCCCTGAGGAAATTTTGGAATACCTCATTTCGAGTAAAAAAGGAAAATGGATGGAAATAATTATTACTGAGCTACTTTCAGGAAGACTGTCAATTTACTTAAATAAAAAAATATTCTTATTTCATTTACAGGCATTGACTCTATGATACCCCATCTAAATCACCTTATTGAAGAGTCTACATTAGCTAGTTCCAGCAACCAATCCCTAACACGAATGGATGTTGTACGCTCCATTATATTGACCCCAACAACTTCTGAACTACGATATCAAGGTGTTAATTTAGCTGGAGCAGACCTGAATAGATTGGACTTACGGTATATTAACTTTAAGGTTGGTTTATGAATTATAGTCATATTATGCTTTTCTGATCATACTGATAACTATCTAGTTTCATTACGGTCTTGATACCTCCAGACCACTGGCAATTGCATAAAAGTTTAAAAAAAGTTGCAGCCTATATATGTCCCACTGGTTTTTGGTGGGGGTTGTCCCCTGCCCTATAAATGTCTTAAATATTTTTTTTTTAAGTTTACCTGTAAAACACTTAAAATTACAATTAAAAATTATTGGTGGATGCTACCAGCTGTTTGGCAATTTCATGTTAACATATATTTATGACATCTTCATAAACCTGTGAAAGTTGAATCTTATTTCTTACAGACAAGTTCTTAAAAAGGCTTATATTCAGCTGCAGACTAAAAAAGCTTTTGATAATATTTTTTTTTTATAGAAGGGGGGGCAAACGAGCATACGGTTCACCTGATGTTAAGTGATTACCGCAACCCATGAACAACGAAACACCAGGGGTATTGCAGGTGCATTGCTGGCCAAATAAAAATATCATATCTGTTTCAAAGTACACACACAACTTAAAAATTATAATAATATAAATAACTGCTCTGTGCATTGCACTTGTTATTGTAATACTTATGTTCTGAAAGTGGCAGATTTCTTTTTGCACCAAGAACTGAACAATTCGGCTTTTTTGTGAGACGTCGTAGATTTAGTCTAGTGAGCAGTGCGACTGCCACTAGTTTTATTGTTGCATAGGAAAGTGTGGACTTATTACTTGTTTGACAGAGGGAACGCGTACGTAAGGCCTTTCGATCCGCCGGTGGTCCGGGTTACTCTATGGCGAGCACGTAGTCCATTTGATTATAAGTGGATGCTGTAGTCCATAGACACATGCATATGTTCTTGAATAATAATAAGTCTAGAATAAGATCAAAAAAAGTGTATGCATTGTCATCATCACCCCTCAAGGTCTAAGATGGACGCTTACCAATAAGTCTCTGGTTGTCGTCATTGAGACACATTAGTATTGTTATTTGACACCGGAAGGATCATTTTTGCACTTTATAATATAGTGATATTATAAAGTGCAAAAATGGTCATTCCGCAGTCAATTCAATACGTTCATACTGCCCATTCAGCCTTAATACCCTGCAGCATGTCACTATCACATTGATCCTGTTTCATAATATACAGAAATTTCTAAATATTTTCAGTATGCTTGCCTGTCAAAATGCAATTTAAGTGGTGCCAATTTGTCGCATTGTTGTCTTGAGCGTGCTGACCTGTCACAGGCCAATCTCGAAGGAAGCCAGCTTTTAGGTGTGAAAGCACTATGTGCTAACATGGAAGGTGAGTTAAATTATGAATATACCAATATTCAGCCTTGTAGTGGTGGCTTAAGAGCATCTACTACCTACCCCCTATTGTAATCCTGTGGGCGTCGTAAGAAGCAACAAAGGGAATTAAACTGGAGATGAGCAGCATAAAAAAAAGACTACGGTTATGAACTGGCCTGCCTTGCTAACATATCAATCAATCTATGGGGGAGGCTTTTAGAGAGGATGTAATGAATTATGAATAAAGCCGATATGTCAAATATTGCCCGCATTTACAAGATACCATGTTATATACATCATTGTTATACGATATACAGTCCCTTGCTAAATTATTAGATGCAATATATTATTCTATGTAAAATCTTAATTATCAGGTTACAGTGTATAATTTTTGTGTTTTATTGTCCACCTTATTATCTAATTTTTACAAAAATAATAGTTATATAATTATATTAAATGTGTTGTACGTGTGCTATTAAACAAAATGTATGGAGCCTGGGCCAGGTCTTTGTACACTATACTCAAAAATGGAGAAACACGTTTTAAACTCTTCTCAACCATCCAATTATTTTGTAATGGTTTTGTTTGCTGGTACAACATAAGAAATTACACTTTAAATTGCAACACACAACAAAACTCATCACGATGATAAGCTGTCATTTTTATTGATTAGTGAGGTTTGACATTATGGATTGTAGAGGTAAGGAGGATAATCTCCCATAGGAGAATAGTTGAAAATGTGTCCATCTGTAAGCGGTAAATAACAGTTCAAAAACTGTCCACAACAGCTGAGTAGCTACAGGGTATGATCAATCCCGTAGTGAAGTATTTTGAAAGCAATAAAATAATTATGTGAAAGTCTGTGCAATAAAAAAATTATAAAAAGTTCTTTAAAATTTAAACTGAAGCTACAGTAGCGCACCCTTATTTACCTTTCCTACGGACAGGTTTTTAGAGTTGTCCTTACCTCTACACTCCATATTGACATGTTTATTTTTGTGGAGCATAGATTATTCTATATACACTATAGTCTTTGCGTTGTAGCATGGTGCGAATGACAGCTGATGATGATAAGTTTCGTATTATTTTATAACTGTTATACAGATATTGTTGTACTTCATGGGTGAGTACCAGCCACTTACAATATAGATGTGCCATGCTAAACTATGCCAAGCCATAACAAAACCACAGACTATCAAAAAACTGTTTTGAAATAAATCAAATATATGAAAATGACGTAAATATGTATTGGAATAGAAACTAATCATTCAACAAATTCAGATTTACGGAAAAAATGCTCATAGACAAATATTTTGTATGTGGTAGAGTCACGCTGCAGCTATATTATAGTTGTAGTACGAATAGGTCGGCTCAACCGAGGTAGGACAACGCTCTCACAGAATACCAGCATAAAATAGCAGCGTAATGCTGCACACACGTACAGCTGTGTTCTGTATGGTGAGTGTAGAGAACCGGAGATCCTTTTTACTGGACTCAAGGCATTCCTTCTTAGTCCTCGGGTGTGACAACGCATTTGCAATTTGATTCTTAATTGAGGATAAATGTGGATGTCTATGGACCACAGCATCCACTTACCATCAGGTGGACTATGTGCTCGTTTGTTAACCAATGCTATAAAAAATGCAGTGTTTCCGATACATGGACGATAAATTATTCTTTGGTCATTTCAGGCAAAATAAATTGGTTGACCCTGCAGGCCATCCCTGGAACTTTCCGCTAATTTCAAATGCAAAGTGCTCCAAATTTCACCAAATTATGTTGCGCAATCTCGAAGTTATGTTAAAAAAACGTTCTTTTCGAATTCTTTCTCCTTCGATATCTCACGCACGAATGAACCGATTTTTATTTTTCAAACGGATGACATTCGACGTCTTTTTTTGAGGTTAAGAGCTGATATTAGTTTTTGAAATCGATCGGTAAAGCCGTTTAAAAGTTATCCCAAAACAGTTTTTCAAAATTTGTATTTTTGAGATTTCTCAAAATCTACTCGTCAGAATGATTTCATATTATCACCAAATCTATTCCTTTAGAACGCTCTAGATCTTTAGAACGCTCTAGATCTTTAGAACGCCGCAATCGGCATCTCAATCGATCAAGACGTTCAAAAGTTATGAAAGGTTTACATACATACACACATACATACATACATCCGTACGGACGTTCACGTGAAATTAGTCAGAATCTTTCCTGGGATCTCGAAACATCGAGATTTGATGAAAACTCGATTTGCGAAAATCGGGGTGAAACCAATAACTTCCCTATTTTTAAAAATTTTCTATTTTCTTAGCAGAAAGTTAAAAATAGTTATAAAGCAAATTGCGGCAAATTATGTCAAAAAGACTCATGGCGGCCAAAATGGCTCCAAAAAACCTATTTTTATTTCACTAGATTTGTAAACTGAATTCTCAATTACTTCTACCTTCCGTCCCAATGTTTGGCCCTGGCAACACTAATACACATTAGTACCTTGAAAAGCTGCTGGTGCAGTCAACACCATACTGAAAAATAATAGATGCTGGCAGCCATTTTGTTTGTTTAAATGTCAATATCATAGAGTATAGTGACAAAAACTCTCCACAGCAGCTCGAGTAGCTACGGGGTATGATAAATCGCTGTAAAATATGTTGAGAGTGATTTTGAAAATAAAAATTTTGAAAGCTATAAAATAATTATTGTGAAAAGAATTATGGTGAAATTCAGCGCAATAAAAAAATATAAAAAAGTTCTTTAAAATTTAGACTGTAGGTACAGAGGCGCCACCCTTATTTAACGCTTTCCTACGGACACTTTGTTATGCAGAGTCTGTACTTCTTACCTCTACATCCCATAGTCAATATGAATGTTGCAATGAATATGAAAGAGAAGATGATTTTTATTTTCAAATGAATAAATAGTAATATCTATACATTGAAGTGTCTGTTTGTAATATCAAAATAAAAACCTTTTACTAAATGCATATGAAAGTATGTACAGTAGTTATAACAAAAAGACAAATAATTATTAAAATGTTTGTCTGTCTGTTTGTTCCGGTTTATAGCTGGCACTGGCAGGTAGCTGATGGTATAGATATATATATATATATATATATATATATATATATATATATATATATATATATATATATATGCACAACAAAGGCTACTATTATTTTAGAAAAATAATTAGAATGCCGCGTAAAAAAATTAAAACTCATGGATTCCAATAGAAATAAATACCACGCGGGCGAAGTCGCGGTAACAGATATTATTTAAGCATTAAACTTTAACTTAATTTTACATGCATTGTTTCAACATGGGACGAAGTACAAGGCTTTGCTCAAGAAGGTCTGGCCCGAATAGCTGGATGGTTAGATAAAAACATAGATAGATATAAGAAATAAGGAGATTTATTATTTTAGTGATTGATTAAATTGGAAAGTTAACGATGTTTCATTTATACCATAATTGTACTAAAATTTTTTGGGCTCTGAATATAAAATAAATAAAATACCACATGTCCAGAGAATAGTGTAATAAAAGTGGTTAATATGTAGGTAAAAATGTAATAAAAATTGTAAAAATGCTATCATAGCGGATTGATGTAGTAGGTATTTTGAAACTATGCTATAGTATTTTCTCACTGACCTGTAAAGTAAGGTATTTATGCAGCACTTGACGTTTTGATATTTATGGGGTGGCATTCTTTGACTTTTATAAGAAATATAATGTGATTATTCATAGGGGACTGCTCAAATTGGTGAAACTTAACATTAAAAAAATTAAATTTGGCAAAGCCTTTGCCATGAGTTCCTGTTAGACTTTTTTAGTTTTAATTGCTGATTGGTAATTTGATAATTTTCATTCTCTTACAAATTACGACGACCAGTACAAGTTTTTGTAGGGAACCAGTTAGGTGGCCTTCCTGTGGCATCAATCCATTCCTTTTTTAAATTAGCATCATTTGGGAAGCTGAAAGGTACGACAATAACCTATTTGTTATTTTCATATATCCTAAGCTTCTTCTAAACCTCACCATGTACTGAATAAGTTTTGCCTGGCAAGCTTTTGATATAAAAACCCCTGCTTTGTGAAAATATTGTTAAATATATGAAAACAAATATACACTCATGCCTAACAAATAAATAGCAAGAATAATTTATATTTACTAATTTTAAGCCAAAGTCACTATTATGATACCATCCGAACCTGCCGGTTAGGTATTTATGATACATTCGTAGCTTTTGTAAACTGTAAATGGTGTGAAACCCTAAAACCATAAAAAGTATGAAAATCTTTCGAAGATAAGGCATAATATACGATTATTCCAACCTAACACTCCATCGATTATTAACCTAAAATTTAATCAACTTACTATACGACCTTTGGTTACGCATTCAGCGTAGTAGTTGCTGTAAAATAATCAAAATAAGTAAAAAAACATTATCGTCGTAAACCTCTTATCGGGTTGAAACAGTTGACAAATTGGAGAATAAACTATAATACTCGTAACAATTCGCCAATCCACATTATTGTCGACAGTGGATCTGCACAAGCACACCACTAGCTCGTCGCAAGATACTGCGGCCGTACTACGCCGTATATCTGCATAAATAACGTATCATTTTGTGATATTTACATTGCTTGTTCAGTCACTTGTCGTCATACTAAGGTAGTGGTTATGAAGCAATGTATTTGCTGCAAAAATATTACAGTGGCTGTGATATTTGAAATCAAAAATAACGTAGTAAGAGCAAGAAATTGTGGCCGTACAAGGAAAAAAGGAGATCTCCCGCCGGGTAAGGTGTTCTGCCCGGGGAGCGGGCGACACGCCGTATGTCAGTTTTTTTTTTTTGCGTCCGAAGCAATTAAAGGGCTACCCTATACGTAGGGAGGCGGAAAATGCATTACGCATACCACGATAGGCCGTCTATCGTGGTTATGAGGGACTCACTGTCCTACCGGGGACCCTAAGTGATACCCTCTAAAAACCGCCTTTGGGGGACAGGCAACCGGCTGATTAAGCTGTATTGTGCCTTATCGTGAGCGACCCTCTTTTGGGAAAAGAGGGTGCAGGGCATATGTTAGTTCGGAGATGTTCTATATATACTGTTTATGATTCAGAATTTTGATAGCGTGATTTAGGTTTGTTTCGCTTGCGGCGCGACGACAGCGCCGCCACATCACCCCCCTGCTGAGACCGGAGGTCGATAGTACAGTCTCGTTGTCGACGAATGTGCAAGTGCCAGGAGATTGCCTTGTAGTCTGCGGTGAGTCGAGAAGAAGGCAAGTTATCTGCGAGAGTGCCGTGAAGCAGAGGCGAGAAGTAAGGCTCAGAGCCGTGCCGAACGCTGTAGCGCAGAGTGTAGCTTGAAGGAACAGGAAGCATTATTATTCCAGTGCTGCGATGAACCTTGTGAAGCTAGCTGGCTTGCAGGATATGAAAACTGCAGACGATATCTGCTCGGGAGCGAATGGGTAAGGAATTCTATGACGATGATGAAGCTTTAAGTTTCCGAAGGTTGTTGGTTGCGTGTTCAGATCACGTTGGGTGGTCACCACTATGGCCGTAGTAGGAAAAGGTGAGATCTCCCGCCGGGCAAGGTGTTCGGCCCGGGGAGCGGCCGACACTCCATGTGTTAGTTCGGAGATGTTCTAAATATACTGTTTATGATTCGGAATTTTGATAGCGTGATTTAGGCTTCGGTGTGTTGCGCACAAAATATTTTATGATTTGCTGTTTAATACGATTTTAAAGATAAATTTTTGTTCTAGCTTCGGTTTTTACAAGAAACCACTGAATAACATGGTATTCTGATAATATTTCACGATGACGGTCGAAAGCGCACTAATTCGCGGAGACGGCCATTTGTATCGAAGCTGAGCATTTTGATCATAGCGCGCGGACACAGACACGCCCCATTGCCACTTCTCCTGTTTTTTTATATTTCTATGGATAAAAACTTATTGACTCTAAACGCCTCTAAGACCAATTATATATGTTTCACAAATTATAACAGTACTCAGCCAAATACGGACTTTCAAATAAAAATTCACTCATGTAACAATTTCACCAACCAAAATTGCTCATGTGATAGCATAAATAAAATATCTAAAACCAAATATCTTGGAGTAATGGTTGACCAGCGCCTTGCTTGGAGTGCCCACATTGACCTACTGATTGGCAGAATTCGCAAACTAACTTGGATTTTTAAAACTTTGAGACACGTTACCGACGCAGATTTAATAAAACAAATATATATGTATATATATATATATATATATATATCCTTAGCACAATCTATCCTTACATATTTTTTTTAGTATTTTTTTTAAATTAAATAGGTAAACGTGCAAAAAACATCGATAATGGCCAACATCGATGTTTTGAGAAAGATAAACATCGAACACCGATGTTAAGCTATCGATGCCATCATCGATGTTTCTACGACATCGACATCTCTAGATGTCACCCGCACCATGCTATAACGCAAAGACTAGAGAGACGAAACAAATGTGAGTCTTCAGTCACTGAAAAGTGACATTGTTGTGACAACTGACAGTTCTCTTTCTATGATCAATGGTCGCTTTATGGTTTACTGTCATTGTTTATTATAAGCACAGAGTAACTAAATCGGCGAGACGCCATGTCGAAAGTCGATAAATATAATTAATAAACATTAATTATTTACCACTACAGGATACATTTAAATGAATTATTTGTATTATTCCCGAATTCTACAGATTTCCTCTTTTTTTGAGGTAGAATACATAGACCTGGCCCATTTTGAAACATCTTCTGTATGAAGTCTTTGAAATTAATGCAATAAAGTGTTAACATTTTGTTGAGCCACCTTTAGCCGCTATGAAAGCTTCAATTCTGCTCAGTATGCTATGAATGCTAGATTGTACTGTCTCCTACATTTGAGGATGATGGTTCCGCACATGAATGATCTTTTCTAAGGGTTGAGTTTTGATTGTGATCATATCTTTTGCCACTTTTCCCTTCATCAGCCCCCATAAATTTTCAATAGGATTCATATCAGGGATATTACCCGAGCAATCCAACAAAGAGGTATTTTGCACTTCGAAAACAAATTTTAACAGACTGTGCTGTGTGACAAGGAGCTCCATCTTGCATAAAACTGAAAGGTGACTGATGACTGTCCAGATCATAAATTTTGTAGGGTGCTCAACAGTGTGAACGACACAGTCAGGGTGAAATTTTTCTCCATGACAGCGACGCACAAACAGAGATTTATTGTGCAAAATTTCAAATGTGTTTTCATCGCTGAAGCAGACCTGTCAAGAATATCAACAATTATTGAAGAAGAATTGAAGAAGCTCCACTGTAGTTCCATCTTCGCCCGATTACTTGTCGTTTTTAACATGCTGAAGAGCTATTTTAAACCTACTCAGACTGACGTCTGGGATATCATCGGAATAATGCCGGATTAGACTTGCTCTTTGATCGTTTTTCACGTTTGTGTTTGGCTCCGAACGATTATTCCGCACTGCCCGGCGTCGTTCTCGTTGCGACGCTGTGGTGTGCGTCACGGGTTAACAATGGCTTTGTTTGAAGATAATTTAATATATGATAATTTAATTATAAATGTAGTCAAACTTCTTTCTTCCTTCTCCTCAAACTAAGCACAAATTTCAAAACTATTGTTTGGTAGCTGCGGCAGAAACTAAACGACGAGACGCTGCGTTTGAGCCGCATACCGCAGCGTTGTGCGTTACGATCAAGAGACCAAATCTTAACAACAATGAGATTAAGATTATGATCGGAGAATTTTTGTATTCTTCTGCGATGGGCCTTGCAGAACTTAGCTCCGACCGCATGGACAGTTTCCACGAGCTTGTCATTCATATCGTCCACTGCATTGCAATCTTCTACTGCACTGAAAATAATTTTGTAACTCGAGCTGAAAGTTTTCGGGGCTTTGGATTACAGCACGAGGGCGACAGAGCGTTGACTTCATTAGACGTGACCTCTCCAACTTAACGTTTAGGTTCAGTGGGCCCCTCACCATTCGGTGATCGCTGCCAGTTTTCACCCTCGCGATCACTGACACATCACTGAACAGTTGCCATCTAGTCGTCATAATGAAGTCTATTTCATTTTTTGTTATACAGTTCGGGCTCGATCAGGTCTAATTTTTGTAGGTCTGCTTCCGAAAGAAAATATTCATCATAAAGAATCCCTCTTTCTCCATGAAGTCGTCCAGCTGGTGAGCCCATGGGTTCCGTTGCCCTATTCCGAATTTCCCTACCTATGGCTCACCATTCTCTCCTGTGTTTAGTTTTGCGTTGAAGCCTACCATTAACACCATATAGTGAGTTTCGGAGGAATGCATGGCTCTAGAAATATCCGCCTACCTCATCGAGGTGTGCCGAGGTTGGCGCGTAAACCTGTATGACCCTTAGCGAATAACCATTTAGTGTTTCTGAGTATAAGATACTTAACCCTCGTCGACACACTACCAATTTTTACAACGTTTTTCGAGAGAGACTTGTGGACGATAAATCTGACACCTCCATGGGACAGATAGTTGCCCTAACAGTGATGGAACAAGTTGCCGAATTCGAGGATTACCGTGACCTCCCCCCTCTTTTCGGGCAGCGCAACTTATCTGTCTCTTCTTTCAGCTCCAAGATCTTCTCGTCAGTCCTCGGTGTACTTAAATTATATATTGCCAGTTAGAGTCGTCTTATGTGGCAACCGAACCTCTTAGCGATTCTTAGCACCCCCCTGCCCCGCTGTTACCTTGTAGCCAGGAATAGTGAGACCGCCAGGGATCGGGGGCCGTTTATTTGTGTCGTTGGGGGTATATTGCCATAGTTGCCACGCTTGGCAAGCCAGTTGGCAACCGTAGTTTTTTATTTTTATTTTACTGTTAGAAAAATGCTGCTGCCCATTTCCTGCCTCAGTTTCCCTCTGTCGCCTCTTACGACACCCACTGGAAGATATGGGGTAGTGGGTATTCTTACTCTGCCACTACACACGGTTAATATAATGTTTTAATAAAAAACAAAAAGTAATAATATAATGGAAGAAACAATTTTACAATATCCATTAATTACTGATAGTTAGTAGTAGTTTATTAATTTGTTGGTTTTACAACAGTTACACATGTCATAAACAAACATACTGCAGTTCTGTCTCTTTGGACATTTCCAATACTTCAATTTTAATTAATATTTTAGGCAAATACAATAATTTCAGTAAATTCTGCAATTTTACAATATTTCAGGTGCCAATTTAAAAGGCTGTAATATGGAAGATCCAGCTGGCTCAAGAGCTGTAATGGAGGGAGTTAACCTAAAAGGTATTTTCATAGTGACTGTTAAAATTTAATATTTAAAAAACTTATTAGTGTATATAGTGACTAAATCTATTCAATCTTTCAGGTGCAAATTTAGAAGGAAGCAACATGGCTGGCGTAAATTTAAGAGTTGCAACACTTAAAAATGCTAACCTTCAGAACTGTGATCTCAGAGCTGCTGTTTTAGCTGGCGCTGATTTGGAGGTACTAATATAAAATCTTATTAATACTTGTGTAGATAAATTTATTTCATTTATTTATATTTCTAAATATTAATTCTGGCAGAACCAAACAGTAGTAAATGTATCATAGTTCACATCAATGTCTTAATCAGTCAATGAATTGGATGACTAGTGTATTTTTCCAACTGACCACTGATTTACAAATACATTTTCCTTTCTCCCTCCCCCCAGCCACTCTGCAGCTGTATTACAGCAGTAGCATGAATAGGTTAATTCCACCAGAGAAGGACCACACACAGATAACTACTGTAAAACAAATCAGCAGTATAATGTTTTGTAGGATAAAGATAGCTAGAGACCACTTGTGCTAACAAGGCATTCCTTCCTCCATCCAGGCTGACACCATATCTGCATTTTGATTCTTAATTGAAGATAGATGTAGATTTCATTCTCAGACGTCAGTCTGAGCGAGATTAGAACGGGCCAAGGCCTTGAAAACGCCTTCCAATTAAGCGGTGAAGAGTTTCGGGGATATAACATCACCCTGTCTTAACACCACTCATAGGTTTCGTACTCTGGTTTTGTATTGGGGTAGCCATCGTAGTTCTACTGTACAATCACTTCAGCACTTCGATATACCGACAGTCAACTTAGCACTGCTGAAGGAACGGTAGCATCGCCCAAATTTCGACGGAATCAAAGGCTTTCTCATAGTCCACATACATAAGACAAAGTGACAGATTGTACTCTTCGGTTTTCTGTACAATTTGCCGAAGGGTATGTATGTGGTATTTGGTGCTAAAGCCTTTTCGGAAACCGCCTTTTTCCGGAGGTTGGAAGTCGTCGAGTCTGTGTGCAAAACGATTCGTAACTACTCCAAAACAGAGCATTGACGTGGCTCAGAAGGGAAATCGGGGCTGTAGATCTTCAAGAGAGCGTTGTCGCTTTTTTTAATAAAAAACAAGTTTTTGTAAATTGGGTTTTGTTTATTCATCGTCAACTAAACCTTTACAGGAATAGATTTCTGTAAAACCATTGAGTCTAGTTTACGACGGGCTATTTTGCGCAACTCAACGTCTAAGCACGTATTTTAGCTTAGCAGCTGTAACACAGGTCTGTGACCTAGCACGGTTGCTAAAGATACCTTAATATAGTATTGAGTTAGATTACGTCTTGTCAATGTAATTTTATAAGTTTTTTGTTTCTATGTAAAGTATGTTTGGATTCAATAAATATTATTATTATTATTTTGGCGTATGAGCAAAAATATCATAATTATTCAAGCCATAAAATCACATCAAGAAAATTTGGCATAAAAACCATATTTTGTGTTTATGTCCACCACTACCAGCCTAAAAAAAGTCTACTTGCATGAGCTTCTTCCATTGAAAGGAGAATTTTCCCTAAACTCGGTCTCCAGTTCTCTACATTCACCATACGAAACCCACCAGCGTTAAGCTGCTATTTTACGCTGGTATTCTGTGAAAGCATTGTCGTTCCCCGGTTGAACTGACCCATTCATGATACAACAATAATATAGCTGCAGCGTGGCTCTACCACGTAAAAAAATGTCTATCGGAAGCGATATTTCTGGCATTTCCCATGGTCGCCCCTTACGACACCCACGGGACTAACTGAAGTGATGGATTCGTTTAGACTTAGCCACCATACGGGACGACACCAGTGTTCACTATAACTTACTTACAGTTTTTAATAATTTCAGTGCTGTGACTTATCCGGTAGTGACCTTCAGGAAGCTAACCTGCGTGGCGCAAACTTGAAAGACGCGGCTTTCGAACTGATGCTTACTCCACTACATATGTCGCAAACTATACGCTAAATCGGGCTCCATTAGTTATATTTAAGAATTGGTTACTTATTACAGTATTTTATATTTATTTAAATAAAATTTTATTTTACTTGTTTTTTATTGACTGCATTTTCTTTTCATAGTGAACAGCCCTGTTTTAATTTTAATAATGAAAGAATTCCGATTTGTTAAATACTCCAAAACGACAACTTCATCATTAGCCTATAAGTTCCCATCTGGATATGGCCCCCTCCCATTGTCTAATTTTCAGGACTGGGAATTAAATTGACAATTGCAGTTCCGTAACAAACGTCTGACACCTCTGACGTTGATGCCCTTCGCTGGTCTGGGTGTTTATGGTTTTGCCCATGGAGGTTAAAGGAACAGGAGAACGATCGCTGCGTATTAAAGCATAGCCCGCCTGTCCTTGAAAATTGTAGAATTTATAGCGGCGCTGATGTCGGTGAGTAGTGACTGCGAAGTTAGATGTTTATGAGTACAAGTAGATGAAGTTAGTTGAATAATGTACAAATTTTCCTTTTGCGGCATTGTTAATGAGAAAATTTTCATGCTCCGTAATATTGTAATTTTTGACAAAAAGAAATTAAAAAATGGAGAAATATTTAATTGTGCCTGGATGTGCAAGTGGTTTAGCATCTGATGGGAAAATAGACTCAAAACGACTTTTATTGACCGAACCTGGAGCGATCGCAGCGCCTCACTTATGGTGTCCATATTTCTTCATGTCTCAGACATCACAGTCGTTGCCCAATTTTTGTGTCAAGGGTTGCTGATACATTCACGTGATAAATATCGATATATTGTAATGTTTTTATAATGTAGTACGATAAGGCTCAAAATGGTATTACTGGACGGTTGGATGACGAAGCTTGCTTCTTTTGTTGCTTAATGTTTTGTCGATTAATACAACATTTTAAATTAATATGAATTCGATACTCCACGATAAATATTTAATGTCGATATATCGCGATTTATAAATATCGACGATAATAATAAAAATAATGATGAAGTACTTTTATATATATACATATATATATATATATATATATATATATATATATATATATAAGCTGCAAATCGCACTTAAGTGTAGGATTATATCATAACCTACTAATAGTTGCATACAACTACATAGTATACAAATATATTGTAATTGATTGATAAAACCAGCGTTTATTTATAAAATAGTTCAGATAATAATTGGGTGCACCAAAGGAGCCTTCTCATGTGGCGATACCTATATTATATTATAGACAGGTACATTATGATACGACTCGTACCTATGCCTATAGATTCTTACTTACGAGTCGACGTATACTTATTTTGCAACATGAAAATAAACTACATACCTACCGAGGTATGTACTTAGTCACTATCGTCCAATGCGCTTCTTGTAAACTAATAAGTACCAACAAATATTTATTTTTTATTATTTTTTTTATTCCAAACGTCTTGTAAGACGATGTCCAAATAAAATAATGATTAAATACTTTTCAACATAAAAATAATCTAGGCAGCCTAGGCACACTCAAGCGTTTTTTTACTAGTATTTTTTATAACGTTACCCCCACACTAGATTTTCTCCTGTATCGTGGAGGCAGTTTACAAACATAACATGCACGAGGACTAACCGATTATTTGTAGGCCATACAAATAGTTGTTCCGTGCAGGATTTGAACCCGCAGCGCCCAGCGCAGCCTCTCATTGCCAAGCCAGTGCGGTCAATACACACAGTTAGTTCAACTGATCAGTTCAAACTAAAACTGTTTAAAATATCAGATTTTCGATATATCCATAAGTATTAATACATTTATAATAATCAATATATCAAAAATCCACTACCACCGCGCATGCCAGTTTTGCCAACATGGCCTGACTAGTTACGTGATTATTCTGAAAACCTACATTTTTGAACTTAAAGTTACTAAGTGACAATTTTGAATTAATTTACAATAAACTATCAAATAGCACAGTTATTTCTAATTAGTATTTATTTATTTAATCTTTATTGTTTTACTACTTAATCTAAGAGTTACAATGGGCGGACCTAATGCCTTGTGGCATTCTCTATCATTTGCTGTTTAGAAACATTTAAAAGCCAGCTGCCAGATTTTATATAATTCTAAGTTCTCATTCTCACTTTTGATCTTTAAAAGATTCTAACAACTACATGTATGTGTCTAAAAACTATAATAAAGGGTTACAGATTGAATTTTGGCACGGTGGTGAACCCCCCGCCAAGATCAATAAGTTTGAAATCAATATTCCGGGCTGCTACTGAGAGTTTTGTGATAGAAAAACCCAATAAATAATTCTTGACCCGACTCGGGTTTCGAACCCGGGACCACATGATCAGCAATGAATTGCGTTTACGACCGTTAGACCAAGAAGACAGTCAAAAGCGTTAAAACTATAATAATTTAAAGGTGTCCCACTCTAAGGAAAAAAATAAATGGTCACTTTACTCTTACCCATAACAATTTTTACTTATTAGTTTGTTTTATAAACTTACTTAGTACCTATATTTACAGTTCATTACCTGCTACTAGCTCACTGTTTGAGTGGATACTGGTACTAAGAAAGGCATCCAAACCGGTTTGGATGCCTAATTTTTCACTACCTCTCAATGGCATACCACGGCTATCAATATTATTTAAATATATTGCTACGTTTATACGAGGACAGTGGGCGCGATAAAATTGTACACGAGTGCTCTGTACAACGCGCTGCGGACGACTGGGACTGGCGGGCGGGCCTGTTTAGTCGACCCGCGCGCTATTTAATCGCACAATATTTATTTGATATTTCTTTTTAAAATGATATATACACTTTTTTTTTTTTTTTGAAAAATAAACCCATAATTCACTCACGTATTTACTGGAACACATATCCTAAACTAAATTGAAATTGATTTCATTACATTCGATTGAAACTGCTTTTTCACTTAGTGGATGTAACTAAAATTGTAGATTTTGAGGATACTGCGATCTTTTTCTATCGAGCCAAAATGTGTCAATCGTGTTTGGACCACCATAATTCTCTAAGAAAAATTTAACTACCATAATGAATTTAAAAAAATGTGAATTCGTAGTTTTTAGTAGTAGTTTTGTCATTACAAAAAATGATTTTCTCTATAAAGCGTGAAAAATCTGCTTTTGGTGTCCACTTCACCTTAAGGCATACATGCACATTTGGTTTTTCCAAAGTTTTTACTATTACTATTACTGTATGTATTGATAGTTTTTTAGAGCTACCTAATATTTTTTTAGACCATCGATATAAATGACAAGATTTATGGTCGTGCGAACAAAATTTTTTTACGGTTTAAGCATAGAATATTATATTATCAGCGCCATCTCTTAAATACTCAAGAACTACTACCACGGAACCAGTGTTTCCATTTATGATTTTGGTTGTAGTGAGTTTGGTGTGGTATAACCTGTAGAAATACTCCCTAAATTATCGTAAAAAATCTAAATAGCCTTATTTATTGCACCTTATTTTGAATATTTTAAAGAACAACATCGTTGCAAGTTTTGTCGCAATTGTCGTTGCATTCATTTAAAATGATATCCTAAAATAATTTAAAAAATATTCATACACCATACTCCCGAGAATAAGAAGCACCCACCTGAGTTTTCTTGAATTTAATTCAAAATGTACAAAATCCCAATAGTCTCTGAAGAGTGTCAGATCGGAAATTTAGAAAAGAATATTTACTGCCATGGACAGTTTCCTCGGAATTTATTTTTTAACATAATGTAAAAAATAATCAAATACAAATAGGTAGATACTTAAATAAGTTATTTACTTATATTTAGTATCTTTTAATAATTACAAATATTTAATAATTTAATAGAAGTTTATTTTGACATTAAGTTTACATACATGAATGTAAACTTAATAATTTAAGTAGGGAAACTTATAGCAATCTGAGAAATGTTTTTGAGGCTACTATCTCTTTTATTTTGCGTTGGACGTCATTTTCTGATTAGCGGTGTTAAGATTTTCCGTGAAAGAATGACCCTCGCCACTATCTGCCGACATATTTGAGTATTGTAAGTGCCATAGTAGTAGAGTCTTTAAAAAGGCAGGTCTAGTCAAAGGTAGTCTTTGGTCTTAATTTTGGAGTACCAAATACCTTAGAGTAGTTACATACATAAGTATGCATAGAGAGAATCTACAATTCTTCATAAATTGAGTCAATATACTTATATTGCCTTTTCTAATGTAATTTTCAAATAAGTCAAAAAGAGAAAAATATATTCAAAGATGTTGCGTATAATTCATGCGTGGAAAAAGAAATATCAAGTGGTCATCTTTGGTCTCTTTTTACACTACTAAATAAAAAAGTTAATAAGATCGTATTTATTTTGTCCAAGATCGTACTGGCTGATTTATTTGATAAATGTAATTTTAATTAAGTCGTATTATTTATTGTAATGTTTGACGTCAATTGTCTTTAATATTTTACTAAAAATATTAATATAAAATTATATCTTTAAATAAAATATATCAATAGAGATGGCTGGTTTTATATTAGGATGCAAATCCCATTCTTCCCGTCAGGAACATGGTTAGGAATTATTCTTAAGCTTCCACCGGTGTGTACGTTTTTATTACCCTAGAATTAAATTATATTATAACTGAAAATAAACTGTATTTCACATTATTTTCTAAATAACAAGTCGGTTTTTTTTTAAAAATAAGACTGTATTTGCTATATATAATCGCTAAAAATACATTGAAATATAAAATTTATTTTAAACAATAGTGATGCTGTTTTAAGGCATATCGGCATAGTCGACAACCTTATATCGACATTCTTCTTTATATTTTCGTTGTTTAAGTATGCCTAAAAATGAGAAGATTTGGGAAAAAAAATGAAAAGTAATTACACGGGCACAAAACGATTGGATAAAGAATAGCCGCATTTGCTCGAAGCACTTCTCCAAACATTGTTTTACTACGAAGAGAAAGAATGAAACTCTTAACGAAAATTGTAATAA